GGCAATGAAGTTGAGGATAACAATCCGAATAATGTAAGTGATGTACATAGATGACGTCCTTTTATTATATACTCACAATGAAAATCTACTCGACATCTTACCGATATTAAACAACGTTGGACCTACCAGCGAATTCACACATGAACATGAAATAGATAAATCTTTACCTTTTCTCGACATCTCATGAATAAATAACAAATTTGATTTTAACGTTTACCGAAAACTCACTAACAAAAAAAGATTTAATCAATTTTTATTCCCACCACAACGAAAAAGTAAAATCATGAATAATTATAGGATAATTTTTTTACCTCATAGCCCAGAGGATATCAAATCTCAAAAAAGAGAAATATACCGTGTTTAGAAGAAATACCTCCTACACAGACTTCACATAAATACCTCCCATATAATGGTAGAAAATTAGCTAGATGAAGGCGTCATCGCCACTAACGTCTTAGCATTATCTGGGAGGAATTTCTGGGAGGTAAATAAAAATATAACTATTATTAGACTGATTCTATTAAAACTAAAATAAATGCAGGGTCTATGGACCCAAGAATTACTTTCGCTCCCACTAGACACATCAAAACAAAAAAGCTGGGATAAAATAAAATGCGAGGCCAATTTTACTAATTTGAGACTCTATCTGGATCAGCATCGCCTCGCCTGTCTACTATCTGCTTCACAACCGAGTAGGGGCGCCTGGCTCAACGCAGTACCCTCTTCATCTAACGGTACCGTTCCTGATGATGAGTGCACTCGGGTCGGAGTCGGGATCCATCTTGGACTCAAATTATGTGAGCGTCACAGATGCAGATGTAGAGCCTCCATCGATGAGTTTGGTTTGCATCCTCTCTCCTGGCGTCGTAGTGCCGGCCGCTTTCCACGGCATGCTGCCATTAACGACATCATCAAAAGAGGTTTGGATGCAGCTGGGTTCCCTTCCCAAATCGAACCCGTAGGCCTCGACCGCGATGATGGAAAGTGGCCGGATGGCATTACCATTTTCCCTCTTAAAATGGGGAAGTCGTTGATTTGGGATGCAACATGTGCGGATACATTTTCGGCAGGTAATTTGATCAGTTCCGCGGTTGAGCCAGGATCCGTCGCCCGGGATGCAGAGATGAAAAAAATAGTTAAATATTTTTCTCTTGCTGATAGATTTTTTTTTTTTACTCCTGTGGCAGTGGATACTTCAGGGTTTATTGGCCCTCGTTCAATGGCGTTCCTTCGGAGGGTTGGCGCGATTGCGTCTCGATTAAGGGACGAGCCTCGCGAAACGGCGTGGCTCTTGCAGCGTGTCTCACTGGCGATGGTTCGAGGTAATGCTTTCTCCATCATTGCGGCTGGCAGAGGATAGAAAAAATTGTTTATAGTTACGTTGTTCAGGAATTGTCATTAGTGGTCAACTGAACTTGTTTTGTTTCAATAAATTTATTCTCCTATCAGTCATATTGTTTGAATAACACAAACAAGAAACTTACCTTGAAAAATAAATGCTTCAAGAAAGATGAATCATTTTTAAAGATTAATTTTAAAGTTTAGGTATCGGTATATATACAGGGTGACCCCAAAAAACGGGAACTTTTTAACACTCCAATAAAACCAAGAATGATGGAAGAAAAATAATTTATTCATAGTAATTGAAACCTTTAAATATGCTATTTAAGAAACAATGATGGAATTTTCATTTTTTAAAAATGACGTCCTGTAGATGGCGTCCTCCTGTACGAATGCATTCTTGAAATCTGCTGTAGACATTCCTCATTGACTGCTGCAACATCTCAGCTGGGATACTGTGAATTTCATCTTGAATTCTAAATGGCAAAATGTTTACTTGCTCAAAGTTACGGTCACGCAGTGTTGCCACTTGCTTATTTCTGGCAATACGCACTTCAAAAAATTCCTCTTTTTGGGGTCACCCTATATATATATATATATATATATATATATATATATATATATATATATATATATATATATATATATGGGGTCTCAGACGTTGAACTATGATATATGGACGAGTTTAATACCAATACTTCCAGAATTAACTCCTTTCATTTTAAGAAAGTTACCAACCTGAGTGTTTTGAATGTCTGAATGAAGACATTGTCTTGCAATGTTGTTCCTTCGTTTATAAGATGGGGGCTATTGAAGATCAAAATTAGGTCCTTCTCTATTGAGCAAGCCTTCATTAAAAATGAGTTGGACAAATTGTTTGATTTTTCACTATCATGTTTAAGCTCGTTTCGATTTATTCTAAAAGAAATACGAGGTAAATTATCCTTTTTTGATTACTTTCGTCTCTCTCGTTACTTGGTTTTTTGTCAGGTTACGGTTGGAAAAAATCAGGGAGAAAGAGAGGAATAACAAACAGCTTCATTTCTAGAAGGTTTGGCGTAGTTGAAGATAATTTGAATAAACATATTTTCAATTTTCCCAATATCACTTTAACTGGGATTGAACTGTCGGTTCTTTCTCGTGGTTTGGATTTCTGCATTCCACCTTCTAGAATCAGTAAGGAGCACATTTTGACAGAGTTCCAGATGTTGTTCTCTCAGTTAATAAAATATGTCCCAAATTCTTCTGATAAGTTTTCTGTAGCTAAGGCAAGACTATTTGAATTAGCTAATGAATTGTCTACGCTTTCTGTTGAGAGTGATTTCCTTGCCTGGCAAGGTATTCATTATCGCAGTATTAAACCATTAAAGTCAAGGAATGACGTGTATCTCACCAAGCCTGATAAAGGTTCTGGCGTTGTTATCCTAAATTCAAAAGATTACTTGTGTATGCTTGTGCCTCTGAATATGAAGATACGTGGTTTTCAGTTTTACACAGTGCTCGCTCAATACACCATCTTTGAGTCTTTGAAACTGTTTTTATAAAGTGTCAACAGCCGAGCCAGTGTAGACAAAAGGAACTTTTTATACGTTCCTTGCTTCTGTTGGGGGGGTTGTGAGTGTCCTTTTTCTATTTCATACTCTTCGGGAAATGGTTATTTTCACCCACCCCCCTTGTTCAATTTTAATTGTGTTTAATTAAAATGTTTCTTTTAGTCGCGTTCCACTTTGCTCTCCTCATTTACTTTATTGAGTGTATCTTCATTTGTATTCCCAATCGACAACGAATACCTTTGGAAAAGTCTTGGCCGAAAGGTACCTTAGGTGTGATGTCCGTGTTGTTTAGGGCTATATATCAATTCTTTGGGTACAAATCACTGTTTGTATATATATATATATATATATATATATATATATATATATATATATATATATATATATATATCACCAGATTTGTTTTTTTGTTTTGTTTTTGATGAGGTTTAGAAATATACGCCCTAATTTAGTTTTAACCATTATATTGAAAAGGGGGGTGAACCAAATAATCTTTCTAGATCTTCTTTTCTTATTATGGTTACAATTAACAGGGTTTTTATATTGAATAGTGGTATTTTTGTATCGACTATTTTTTTGTGCAGAATTGTAAAAATCACTATGTTTATTGAAAACCTCCTTATTATAAGAGTTAGCGCTAATTCTAAATTCAATGGAAGAGGGTATATGTTTGATAACTGAAGGTGGATGGTTGGAATTAGGATGCACGTATAATGGGTTGGAATTAACCTTCACATATGGTTGGAAAATGTTGTTAGCAAGATCTAGGGTGACATCTAGAAAATCCACTTGTCTAACATTAGTAGTAACTATTGTCCTAAGACCTAAATCCTTAAATACCGTATAGATCATTTTCCTAATACGGTCTACCTTAATTTTAGTTGAGTTTTTAACAACTAATAATCCATCATCTCTATACAATCCTACACTATCTGAATCTAGACAATCGAAGGCACTTAAATTATATAAAAGAAATAATCCAACCAAGTCCGAAGCTTCAGCAGAATCCAAAGAACCCATAGAAATGTCAAAATTGTTGTTGCAAGACTTTTTGGTGTGTTGAAACAAAATGGCTATTTTTGGAGTGATTTTATAACATACTTATGTTATAATTTTTTTATAAAAAAATAATATATATATATATATATATATATATATATATATATATATATATATATGTTTCGGCGGCAACAGGTGCTTCGCGATCTGGGTAACCATCAGGGAATTTCGAACGGAACAATGAGATGTGGAGACCATGAAGTATTGTGGACAAAAAAGAAAATAAAAAAAAATGAATCTATTATCTTCTTCGATGTTTGGCCAGCCGAAAAGGAGAGGCGGTCAAAAGTGGAGAACAAACAAAGATTCATGTGTATCTATACATATGTACATTAAGTCATTTTTTGCCTATTAACACAACCGATATGAAAACAAAACATATTGTTAAATATGTTTCTAGTTAGCAACAATATTATCTGGAATATTTATCTACATAACCACACATACACACACGTACACATTCACACAGACACGGACACACACAGAGCCACACACACACACACACACACACACACACACACACACACACACATATATATATATATATATATATATATATATATATATACGCGCACGTGTGTGTAGGTTTATCGATAGGTAGCGAAATGAAAAATTATTTAGCTCCTTAGATTAAATAAAATGTTCCGTTCGAAATTCCCTGATGCTTACCCAGATCGCAAAGCACCTGTTGCGGCCGAAACATCGTAATAATAACAGCAAAGATGAGGATAATAGTGGTAATGTAAATAATGATAACCCTGTCTTCTAGAGATTGAAATTCAGACAGAATTCTTTTAAAACGCCAATGATAATCTTGTCCATATTTTGGGAAGTAGATGAAACATAAAAGTATTCAGAACCCTCTTGTATGCTTATTATGAAGTTTAATTTATAATTTAGGGAAAATAAATTAATAGCAATAAATAGAATTAAATAGAATTATTTTAACAATAAATATATAGATATTAAGTTTCGCTGAAAGTACTCGCTTTTAACGTAGATCATATCAACCGCGACAGAGGAATGCTTGAAGTCTCCAACGACTTTCGACCTCATCACGTCGAAACACAGGTTCTCATACGATCGCTGAAGGTAAGCAACGTTGAGCCTGGTCAGAACCTAGATGGGTGACCGCTTGAGAATACCAAGTGTTTTAAGCTTTAATGTGCGAGAGGTGGAATAATGGCTCGGAATTGGAACCCAATTTTCTAATTTAATTCGGGGTCGTTACATACACTTATGCGCAAATACCCTTGGAAAAAGCTTTGAATCCACCTCTTCTCCCCCAGCTATGGGTTAATTAGTAAGCATTGTATCACTAAACCTTTATTATCTTTTTTTTTTTTGGTTTTAAATAACCTGCAGATGTTTGGTACGCTATAGATTACGAATGAATCAATTAATTGAAGCCGACAAGTTTCAAATTTCACTGAAATGCAAGATATTTCCCTTTTTCTCTTTGGGGTATCAGAATTGTCCGAAGCGCTAATGAAAGCGAGGGAAATGAAAGCACGAAAAATTAAAGTGCGGATAAAACGAAAACGCGGGAAATTAAACCGCAGTCAGGTTTCACGTGGTTAAATAACCTTAGTGCATTTTTAGAATTATGGTGTCACGCCTGTAACACCTTTGATCACTTACTGGCCCGCTGTGACTTGATAGCGCACCCAAAGATCGTTGCCTTCCACAAAATCAATCCCTTATACCTTGCAACCAAAGATCGAAGAACAACTTCACGCGAAATATACTGGCAAGGTTAACACCATGCGGAAAATGTGTTACTGTTTTTCTTAACTAGCTCTTTTTCAAAGAAGAAATCATCCAAAATGTCTGCTTATCGTCGCAAAGAAAAAAAAATCCATTACTCTGTAAGTGTGAACCACTGTTCTATACGACTGAAAAAGTGTTGTCGAATGGAAGGCTCGAAACGTCTTTTGTGTCTGATTGTATTCAACAACAGTAAGAGATTCGTTTGCCATAAAAAATACAATGATTTTTGCAAATTTAGCAATAGTGTTAAGATTGTTTCTCTTGTATGTGATCATCTCATCTTTGTTGCCATATTTATCACAACGTTTCAGCATTTGTACGATCCGGTCAGCTTCAGATGGTTGAAATGTCGAAAAGAACCCTTTCAGATGGTTGAAATGTCGAAAAGAACCTTTCTAGTTCCACGTGCCATGTCTAATAAATATCAGTTATCAGTTATCTCCTGTTAATTCCCCACTCCAACTTCTCCACCGCCTTAACCAGGTATTGACCTCAAATAAAAGGTTCAGTTCGTTGTGATAAATATGGCAACAAAGATGAGGACAATAGTCCGAATAATGTAAATAGTGTACATAATACCTCATCTGAGAAATATAGACAGATAATAAAAATCTTGTCATCATTAAATAACTCAACGCGGTTGATATGCCGTAAAACAAAGCAAACCAAACCAATATATACTGAGATAGATAGATAGATAGATAAATAAGTTTTGAATGTCATTATTTCAGTATCTCTCTATATTTCTGAAATTAGGTATGATGTACACTATTTACATGTTTCGGACGTTGTACGCTCCGGCCTTCTGCAGGGGAATTAACAGAAGATAAATAAATTGTAATAAATATGGCAACAAAGATGAGGACAATAGTCCGAATAATGTAAATAATGCAAAGTTATTGTGTAATCTTTTGTAATGTATTAATGGCTTGTTATAATAATTATATGCTTAAATACATTAAACGCTTTCTTTCCGGAAGACGTCCTGCTGAAATGGGGTGGGGTGTCTAATATGTCAGAGTTTCTCTTAAGCTGTTAAATTCGATATATATCAATATAGGCTATTAATAAAGATTTTAATATATTGCTTACATTTTTAGATATCTAATTTCTCTACACTTCATCGAAAAATTTATTGCAATATATTTTTTAACTAGGAATTTTTTCATGTATCAAGTTCCCAAAATTAAATCAAATACATATTTTATTGCAAACTCTTTTATCTAATATCCTTCATTCATTATATCTTCGAGAACGAAATCAATTAAATATTTAATTGTCTCGAATCTTGTTATGATAAATGCTGATTTTTTTTTATCTAATATCGCTCCGACATTCTATCTTCCTAAACAAAATTAATTAAATGTCTGTTTCGAATCTTTTATTGTGAACTCTTAGCTTTTATCTAATATCGTCCTGACATGATATTTTTATTAACGAAATCATTTAAATATTTAATTGTCTCCAATCTTTTATTGCAAACTCTTAGTTTTTATTTTTATCGACTATCATCCTAACATTATATCTTCCTGAACGAAATAAATTAAATATTTAATTGTCTCAAATCATTTATTGCAAATTCTTATCTTTCATTTAATATCGTTCTTGAATTATATCTTTATGAACTAAAACAATTAAATATTTAATTGTCTCGAATCTTTTATTGTAAACCCTTATCTAGTATCCTTCTCATATTCTTTTATCAATAATTCCAAACACTACACACTTAACCAATATATTTCCAGAGATCAACTCTTCTTGAATCAAAGTATTTAAATATTTAACTGTTCGTTTTATTATCAGTTACTCCCAACGGAAACCTCAAGCAATTCTTAAGCAAAGTGTTGCTACGATTATTGATCCACTCAAACCCAGAAACCGTTTCCTTTTCTTTGCTAGAATATCGCAACAGAGCCCATCTGCATTGGACAGCACAATTTTTAGATTTTCAGAGATAGCTCGAAGGCATCAATTTAAAACTAACACTGACCTTACTTTGCTAAAGACTTCACCAACTAATCACTGAGGGAAATCTTCGTGACTTGCGTTATTTTAGCGATATTCCATACCAATTTCTCTCGTATCTCCTCTGATAGATTTACACTTCTTTGCAACTTTCTGGGCCGACGTGTCAAAACCAGAAACGCATGCTCCAGAAGGCAATATTTCCTTTCTATTTCTGATTCCAGGCTTCCGTTGTCAAGTCTAGAGAAAAACCAACAGTGTTCATAAGGTGTGGTGGTATCGAATTCCTTGAGAAATTCCCCATCCCTGCCCCCTTAGTGAATTGTTCTTCAGGGCGGAATCGGCTCGGCTCGGCTCGGCGGGGAAGTGATTATTTCTCTGAATGTTGTACATATTCTATCAATAGGTTCATGACTTAGCCGACATGACCATTATGATGATGGAATATTTAATTTCTACTACTGCCGCCACCGCCCGCGCCGAATCAATCTTTTTCCGTCTTGGTTCCGCTATTTTCTGCAAAGGTATTAATTAGGGACTTTCTTGACGCCGCTCTTAGTTTTCAGATATAAATCTATTAATCAAAAGCTATGTCTGTTTTCATTATACGGCTTAATCTGTGCATATCACAAAAAATGTCGGCCGGTGGACGCATTGCTGACAATAATCTAGGACAGTAATATGTCTGTCTTTAGGAAAAAAAAGTGGCTTATGACCGCCTCACGTTGAAACTCCAGATCCCGTACAATCAATAAAGTTAAGCAACATCAAGCCTTTTCTTTGACTACTTTTTGCGAATATCAAGGGGTCTGTAATCTTGGATATGTATTGTTGTACTGGACAACAGCTTGAAATTGGAACACGGCTCTCCAATTTCCAACTCCTTTCGAGTTCTTTCTATATCGCAAATCCCCTTGGAAAAGGCATGAATCCAACACTTTTCCACCAGTTAATTAGCAGGACGTGTATCTGCAAAGCATTATTATCTTCAAAATATTCTTGCAATCGTAAAATATTTTTTCTGGTTTTAAATGAACTGCAAAGGGTTGATAAACCGTAAAATACGAAGAAGTAAAGACAGTGGAAAGAAGAAAGAGAAAAGAAGAAAGAGAAGAGAAGAAAGAGAAAAGAAGTGCAGGAGAAAAATTTGTAGAAATTACAAAAGACCAGTAAAAAGAACAGAAATAAAGAATGGGGTGGGGAGACGACGGGGTGGGGGGGAAGTGGAAAAGGAGGAAGGAACTTCCAAAATGATATTTAACGGAAATAAATATTATACATAAAACTAAATCAAAGGTAAAAACAAGAATTTATTTTTGAAAATATGGATAAGCGTTATATAAATTTTACTTCTACTTGCTTTTACACAATATAATTGTTCGAAAAAAATTATTTAAAAATTAAAAAAAAAGAAAATTTCTGTGCAAATGTTTTTTTTTTTTGTTTTTTTATGCGCTTCGGGTTCTAGATATGATTGTGTGGGTGAAAATATTAAGGGGGTCCCTATGACTCTTGTATCTACCGATTCCTATATCACAACTTATGATAATAGGTGGGACAAGAAACGGGGGTTGCGTGAAAAAAGGTTATCTAGCTTTCCTACCGCCTTACCTACCAGTAGAGCCATAGCATTTTCATCTTTTTCCGAATACTTACTATCGTGGCAGTTATCCGGGCGCCATATGTTTGATATGACAGGAAGAGTTTAAAAAAAAAAGAAAAAGAAAAGATTGATAACACGCAAAACGAAAACAAAATCATTATCAGCATCATGGGCTAGTTTCAGGATTTCAAGACACAGAAAAAGTGGGGGGGCCAAAAATGAATTATAAACAAGGAATGTAATGTAATACAGTGAAGGAAGAAAAGGAAAGAAAGATGACAGAAGAAATGTGAAAAAACTGAATTATATCAAGGAAGAAGAGAAAGTGGGAGAATATAAAAGAGGAATGGGAAGAGTAAAACAAGAAAGAAGCGAATGAAAATGAAAAGAAAAAAAAGGAGAAGAAGAAGATTAGATTGAAGAAAAATGAAGAAGATAGTTGAATAGGGAAAGCAAATAAAGGAATGAAGACACACAAAATAGAGAAAAGGTAAAATGAGAAAGAAAAAGATTGAAATCAAAAATAAAAATGAGAAGTAAAAAGATTGAAAAGGAAAGGGGAAAAGGTCGAAAAAGGAAAGAAAGAACAATTAAGACAATAGAAAGAAAGAAAAAAGAAAGAAAGATATGGAAAAAAGAAAGAAAGAAAGAAAGAAAGAAAGAAAGAAAGATATGGAAATAAAGAAAGATATGGAAAGAAAGAAAGAAAGAAAGAAAGAAAGAAAGAAAGAAAGAAAGAAAGAAAGAAAGATATGGAAATAAAGAAAGATATGGAAAGAAAGAAAGAAAGAAAGAAAGAAAGAAAGAAAGAAAGA